ATATTACATATGCTTATTGTTGCATCTGCTATAACAGATTATTGTTTCTTTGTTCTGTTTTGTAATGGCCACGGAGTTCGGACATTCAAAGCAAGTTCTGTAGTTACAATAGGTAAAACAAGCCATAACCACCTATTTTATCATCTCAGCACCATATTCAAACCGCAGCACTTTCTCATTTATTATCTTTATATGGAGGTTCCGGAAAAGGTTTTAATCAAATAATCCGAAAGACTCTATATGCTACATTTTCTCCAGTAATTTCTAATTTTTTAACGCGCCTGTCCCACGTCTTCTTCTGAGAGGCAAACTACCATTTGCATCTCACACCGATTTTTTAATTTGTGAAGAATGATTTGAGATTCTAAGTTGTCTCTATACATTTTTCAGAATCGCTTTCCTAGCAAATTGGTTGAAAAGAATTGTATAACAACCTCGCCTTTTTGCAAACTACCGAAAAAGCATCGTCCTTTACCTCCAAACTCCTTTTGTACCGAGATTACCAAAAACTGCTTTTCTCTCAGTGACCATTCAGTGGCCTGCATCTGTTTGCATAGCCATAATAAAGTATCTGCACTGGCGTCACAGGTTAGGAGTAACCGCGCTAACTTGCAAGGTATACAATCCTTTTGTTGAAAGGTGTGACTGCGCTTTCGATATCCATCCCAGTTTGGAGATATCGCTCACGCACGAAGCTCGTTATATTCAAACGTGCAACCTTGATTTAGTTGATAGAAAAGATTCTATGAAGAGTTTATAGATATGATGTAGGTTCTGTCTTGACATTATTTTTTAGTCTTCAGATAGAGATGAATCACTCACTTGCTCGCTTAAGAGGCCTTCACGACTATACGATGATGCTGTCGACTTTTAAAATAAGGGCGCGATGCAAATCTTGCTCATAACTAAACGGATAAATTTTTGAGTGAAGCCCAGAAGCTTGAATTCGCCATTGCAGTACGTATAGAAAATGACTATCTATCTTTCACACCGCTTGCTTCCATATATATTCACTTGCAGGCTTAACAATCATTTTCAAACATTTTTCTATTCTGAACACTGCGCTTTGTTCGAACATTTAGGAAGTCCAGAGCCTTGAGTTGCTCTTTTTGCTTTATCTGTCTAGGGGAAGTTCTCATCGTAATTCGTGATAATGTCCAAAAGGTAGCAGATTCATTAAGAAGTAGAAATCTAGGTTTTCT